TGTTTAAAAAAACTAGTTAATAAAAAAATATATTTGGTAAAGTTATAAGTTAGCCGATAGATACAAAACTACATAAAATTATATTGTTCAATAATTAATTAAAAATATATTTGGGAGGTTTGTAAGAAACCTTTTAAAAAGCTACTCAAAGTAGAATTTTAAAAGATAGCTAATTAGCTTACAAAACACAACCATTCTAAAACGTTCGAAAAATAAGCTAGTTTTTTTTAAAAAGTTGTGATGCGCCAAACAAAATGTTAATGTAATACTTAATTTCTTATGTTTTGGCAAATTTTATGTGTCATATTTAGTCTCTTATGTTTCATTTTATTATATTATAGTTTATACTATATGAAAATTATATCCTAAAAATAGTAATTATTCATTATAATATTATGAGATGCTAAATTTTCATTAATTAACTTTAAATATAAAACCGGGTTTTAAATATATTTATAAATGTCATTTTAATAAAATAGTATCTACTTTGTATTAATACTATGCACATAAGTAATTTCATTAATTTTATAATAATATATTTTATAACGTTTTTACATAAAAGTTATATAAGTAAATAAGTAAAAAGCTAACAAATTGAAGGGTGATTACGTTAATCTATATATAATTAAAAAGTACATATATTAAAACATATAATTTTTAGTGTAAAAATGGTGCTAAAAACGAAGTAGAGTTGTTTCCATCATTTTTTATATCATTTTGAAGTAAAAAATAAAATAGGGTCGATATAACATTTGATATTTTTTCAAGGTAATATTTATTTATTTATTTATTTTGGGTTAAGTATTTCTATTGTGTTAGGTTTGGATCCATTGGATCCTTATTATTCGGCTTAAGGGTGTCGTACGCAGGACGTACCACCCTATATACGCGCAATGTATGTGCATATGTTGATCGCGCGTGCCATACACGCACGCGCAACGCACTAAGCCACTAAGGAGTACGCACAACGTATACATGCAATTCCCAAACGCTAAATTTTAGAGTTGAGCACTATATAAAGAACATTATCTCTTAAAGACTAGCCTCCCTCTCACCTTTAAGCAGCTCCCACGAAACCCTAATTCATATATTGTGTGTTCTTGTGCTTGGAAGGCCTCTTGAGAGCATTCTTGGTGTTTTGATCCATTCTCCAACGAAGTGAATGTTGAAGCAAGGTGGTGGTTCAAATGAGAAGGTGTAGATCTGGGATTATTGCTTTATTTCATACCTTTTCAAGGTATAAAGTCTTGAACTTGTTTTATGAATGCTTAGATCTATTGAGTTGAGTTTATGGACCTATTTGGTCCAAAGAAAGAAGCTTTATGGTTTGAAGTCGTTTCCTAAGCTTAGGGTTGCCACCCTTGGTGTTATGAGAGTCCTTAAGTTAGAAAGGTACCATCTTGGAAGTATTGTTGCATCCATGCATGAGTTTTGTCCATTTTTAAGGAAGTAGGTTGTTATATTTTAGTTTGGGCCCATTTAGGGGCATGCGAGCCACCAAGTAATCAACTTTATGGGTTAAGACCCTTCAATGGACTCAGATATGTGTTTGGGGTTCCAGATCGTAAGGGATTAAGCTATTTTTGGGACTATTGACTAATAGGATTGTACGTTGGGCATACAAGCCCGTACGCACGGTGTACACGCCATGCAGCCTGTACGCTAAGCGTACAATTGAGTACGCCCTGCGTACGCAGTGGATTTGGGTTGGCGTCTTTTGGGCCACAGTTTGGGCTGTATCCTTGGACTAGTGCATTGGGCCTGAGTAGGCCATTTGGATTCAACTCTTGGGTTAGGAAAACACATTTGGACCTTGGGTTAAGGGCCATATGAAGGTATTGGGCCTTTGAGATTAATTATCTCTCTTGGGCCATTGGTTATGATCTAGAGTTTCATTTTGGGCAAGGATATGTTAGGGGTAAAAGGGTCTTTTACCCTAGTGAGAACTTATGTTTAAGTGACTTAGATCCCGAACTTAATTAGCTTTTATTTGTCAAATGATAGCCCGGGGAATCGTAGGACCAACAGTTGGGGATCATCCGTATCATTCAACTTTGCGAGGTGAGTTTCCTCTTGAATTGAACGGGTCGAAGGCACCAATGCTGACCCATGTTTTATGCTTACATGTTTTCCGGATTATGGTTTGATGTCGGGCAGGGCCCGAGGAATAGTTGTATGCTTTGTGTCTTCGTGACTCTTGCATGTGTCTGTGCTCGTATGCTTCCGGACTAAGGTCCGATGTCGGGCGGTGCCCGGTAACTATTTGTATGCTTCGTATCTATGTGATTAGTGTATGCGTATGTGTGTTTATTTGATATATGATATGTGTATGTTGAGTTCAACTCGATGCCTGGCGGGGATTGATGTAAGACTATGTCCGATGCCGACTATGGCCGATGATAGGGTGGGGGCCACTATATGTGATTATGTATTTAGTATGTGGTAGTTTGGGAAATTCACTAATCTTTGTGCTTACAGTTTTCAGTTTTGGTTTCCGGTACTTCCGGTAGCAAAGGGAATAGCTCGGGACGACTGCACTGCACACACCATGATGTTTTTGTCTGGGATATCACGCTAATGTTTTTGATATGGATACTTTGATTTATGAACATGATTGGATGTTTTGACAAATGTGGTTTATTTAATAATTTAAAAACGAAATTTTTGGGACCATATTTTATGTATGTTACAAGTGAGATGGTCTTAGCTCTTAGGCATTGGTGTAACATGCATATCATTCATGGTCAGGTGGTAAGATTATTATGACTGTGCACTACATCCGCATGCCACCACATTGGTGGTTCGTGATATGTAGAATAAGATGACACATTCTAAGACCAACCAATATACGAACTACGGTGGGTCTCATGGTCTAGCTGGCCACGACCGTGGTTCGCGCACACTAGCCCGAACCATCGTGGTCCTCCGTGCTCATGGTCTTCGATGTTGGACATCATGAATCAAAACGACCAATGGGTTTAAAGGAATGAAACTAAGAAAAGAGCTCATGCGAGTTGGGCTTTTTTTTCGTGGGGAAAAAGACACAATTTTCAAGTTTTGATAACTTTGATCAATGAGGTGCAGTTCATTGACAGATAGTACCCATGACCAAAAATCCTTTAACATATATAGTTTCTAAAATGACAAATTAAATATTGGATTTATATTTTCTAATTAATTAAGTAATTTGATTTATTTAAATTATTATTTTTATTAGTATTAAATCACTTATTTGCATAATTAGTATTTGAAAAAAATTATATATATTTTTATGTATTTTTTAATTAAATTTAATTAAAAAAGTGAGGTGTGAGTGTTGTGTTTAGTGATAGATGTCTCATGGTTATTGGTAGGGAGTGTGGTAATGATGTGACACCTATCATTAATGTTTTAAGACCATATTTAAAAAAAAGTACATTTCATATTTTCATTAGATATTAATGATTCCAACTTTCATAAAATACTAATAGTTTTTACTATAATTTTTTCTACAATTTATTTTCTTTTTTTAGTGCACAAGCCACAATACATTCACATAGAATTTCAGAATCCAACAATCTTGGGAGGAAAAGAAAGAAATCGTTTTAGCTCGTGCTTGAATTTCGGTGTCCGAAGACCCTACAAAAGAAGAGAAACTTTAGTGTAGTTTATTCGAAACCACTTCCACCACAAAATAGAGAACTGTTTTAACCGGCATATTGTTGGTTAAAAATAATCAAAGTCAACAACATTTACAAAGATCTAAAAAACACATATCTAAATAGGAGTAACGACACAGAAGTCATCGATGTGGCGCTGAAACATTACCAAGAATTCCAACTAAATCGTAAACATTTTCCTTATATCAATGTTTGCTATAAGTTGCGTAATTTTCCGAAATGGACACATGCAAACGTTGAAAATGAAACCTAATCCCGTATTAAGTATTCTTCTTTTTATTTAAATTAAAGTAACCTTTTTTTTTTCCTACTTTACAATTTTCCTTTTTATTTAAATTAGTTGTAATGCTTTAATTTTAATTGAAATCTAATATTTTAATTTCTTTATTTTTTTTCCTATTGAAAATAATAATGAAATGTTGTAAGTATACCAAGTTCAATGTGGTATGGACATGGTGATGAGATGACCACTTTTTCGTATGGTCATGTGAGTGTCCATGTGACATGATATAACAAGTTATAGATTCTATAAAAGATACTCAAGTTCAAACTTTAACATAATCAATTTTCTTTGTTACACAATAAGTTTTAACCATTCCGACATCAAAGAAACGTAACAAGGAGAAAAAGAACACACGCATGTAGCAATCTGGTTGGTAAAGGAATCTCCAACCCAATACCAAAACCTCTACACCATGTTGGTGAAATTTATAAATATAACACCAAGTTTGGTGTTTTATTTCTTTATATCAAAATGGTGTACATGTGTCAATTTTAATCCTTTGGTTTTCATTTTATTTTATTTTACTTCAGTTTTTATAAATAGGTATGTCCTAAATATAACAATTACTCATTACGATATCATGTTTAACATATTAAATCAACATTAATTCATCATAAATATATTAAGAAATGTATTTGTTGGTGTAAAAAATAATGTATAAAACGATAAAAAAAATTTGATGTGGTGTAGAGCTATAGACGGTTCAACACCTTTCATGTTTACTGTCCATCCATCAAAACTTCTTGAATAGATAAACAAATCTTGTTTTTCTGCTGTACCATTTGTAACAACTTTTTTCCTGCAACTCCGTTGTGTAATTGTTAAGAATTTGGTCTCTATATCCCACGCCAATCGCCATTGATTATAAGTTGTTAAATTTATTCAAATGACATGACTATTTTGGCTCTCATTTTATATTTATCGTTGAGTGTGTCGTAGGCTAATAGGAAGAAGGCAACTTAGACCACATGAAACAACAATAAAATGTATGCAAGTTGATATAACAAACCGAAAAGTAATATGACATCATCATCAAAATATTAAATATCCCAGAATCCACATACCAAAATATTTGCCCCCAAAAGATCACTGAATTTGCTAACGTCCGTAGTCGAAAGCCCAAAAAAAAAAAAAAAAAAGTTAAAAAGTAACGAATATCACCGAAAATAACATTTTTTCAAAAGACAAACCAGAAAAGAAACATATCCATAACCATACCCCCACAAGCTATTAAAATCCACTATTATTTGAATTTCAATTTCATTTTCAATTGGCACGACTCTTAAACACATCAAGATCCATCTCTGTTGGGTCGGTTGCTTGGAGCTCCACCTGGATCCCATCAAGCTCCCTCTTGAATCTATCCTTGGAGCTCGCGTAAATCATCTTAGTCCTCACCCTTGCAGTGTCAGGCGACCTAATCAATCATTATTTTCAACATCATCAAAACGGTTTTATAATATAATAATTAAAAAATAATAATAATAATTACCAAGCAATGAAAAAGATCCTGGATTTTTGGCAATTCTCAGCAGTAACAAAGTCATAGTCAAAGACTGCATATCGACACTCATTGTCAGGTAAAGAAGCAGCAAAATCCTCATGGCTTTCAGCTGGCTCTCCAACTTTCTCCACCTGCACTTCCTTTTGCTTCTCCTCAATCTTGAAGATTATATAGCGGAAGTTTCTTTTTGCCTTCAACTCCAAGAATTTTAGCTTGCATTCATCATTCACAGCAATCCCAGATGCAGCATTTGCCTACACAATTTCCATCATAACTTTTAAACATATTATAATGCAATTAGCATCATTTTCATCTTCATAACCACACAAGGAAAGAATGAGTAAATGCATTGAATGTGTTTTATGACTTTTATCATCCATACAAAGAAGGTGCACCCAGCTACCATGCTTGGACATTCACACTATAGTGTTATGGATAAATTCTATGTTGAGATGATCATCATGAATTTCAAATTAAGCTTCGTGTGATTCATCAACAATGTTACACATAGAGATTTTATAATAACAGGGTCTAAATTCCTAACTGTATCAAAGCTTGCTTATCATTGTTGAATAGAGAACTGTTAGGCAACTAAGATGAAAGGATTTTGTCGGGAAAGAATTGAAAAGTGTAGAGAAGATAAAGTAAATAGGACTAACAGGATATGATAAAAGTTTGTGACAAATGAGAATAACAGATCAAAACTCTCATGTAGAGCTATATACCTAAGGATCAGTCAGATCTATCCATCACCTATACAAATAAGAGTAAGTAAGCGCTTGACAGATCAAAACCGATCCAGTATATACCTATATTTTGAAGATCACTTCTCTATGAGCACCAATAAAAGTTTCCAAACAACATTTTGGTACAAAATTAGCATTTTATTCATACATACACAAGCAATAAGTTCATCATAAAAGAGAGAAAAAAAACGATGTTATCTAATTGCAGCCTATCCAAGCTGCCAATCAACTGTACTTGAAAATAAACGAGAATTACACGATTTCACTGTAATAAGATTAAACGCTACGAAGTCGGACAACTCGGTTTTCAAACCAGATCCGAATCTGAAAAGTAACATCAGGATAAACAAATCTGGATCCATTTACAACTCTAGGGTTTCCAATTCATCAAAAGTGAACTTATAACAGATCAAATACCTAACATCAAAACACTAAACAAAACATAATTCGATGCATTAATACGGAAACACATGCATAGATTAAAAACGAACAATCAGTATAATAGCGATTAAAGGAAGAAAACTAAAGTACACAGATATGTCATGTAACAAGTCAACCGAAGTAAAAACAGTAAGAGAAATGGTATTTGAAGAGATTAACCATGGTCGCAGACGATTGATCGGAGAAGATCGAGGCGATAATCAACAGAATTGTAGAGAGAGAAAACCGAAAGGCGGTGGATATGAGAAGATGTGAAGAACAGAAGCGTGTTTTTTGTAGAGAGAGAGAAGGATGGATGTGGTGATGGGAAGGACTTTTAGTAGTGCGCACGAAGATAATAATCAGAGAGATTCGGGCCTCGCTATATCGGTGGTTACCCTCGTCTCTCAAGTCTCATCTTAAAATAAATATCAAATTAATTTATGTGAATTACGATTCAACCCTTCTATTATTGATTTGCTTTCAAATTAGCCCTTTTATTATTAATGGCTTCAGAATGACCACTTACTTTAACAAAAAGATAACAATTTTTGTTGGGTATTCTTAATTTGGAAATTAAGAAAAACAATTATGCTTTAATTTCTTTTATGCTTTTGTGTCAGAGAGAAAGAAAAATAAAGCAATGATGCTTTCATGTGAAACTTATTTTAGTTTAGGGTTAGGGATAGTTTGGTCATCGACAAAATTATTACTTTCTTTTTTGTATCATCAAAAAAGTTTTATATGGTTCATTTATCTTATACCCTAAAAAAAAACGTAGGACTATGGAATTTTTATGCCCGAATCTTTGTTTTTTCTACCCAAAAATAAATATCTTTGATTTCTATCCAAAAATCAATGTTTTAAATATCGGTTCGAACCGTCGGGTCGAATCGATTGGATTAAGAACCGGATTAAAAAAAAATTCAACTGATATTGGTTTTATGTTTATTCGTGAATTGGAATCAAATCACCGTTTTTTATCAAAAAAAAATTGTAGAAGAAGAAGAAAGAATTATAACCAGCTAAATTGAATAAAAACTCATAGAAAGAAAGTATTTTGCATAACAAACTTTAATGGGTTTTTTTTTAATTTCCCTTAAATTTAATAAAAACACATGATAAATATGACGAAACTTTTTTAAATATGTATATTTATCTAAAATTATATTTTGTTTCGGTATTATATTTTCTTTTCTTTTCTTATGTATTTGAATTTGTGTAAAAGTTATGGTTATTGATTTTAATGTATTTAAAATGGTCTCCAACTTGTTTTATGTTATTTTTTATGGTTTAAACTTGAATCGGGAATTGATTATCATATCGATTCAATTAAAATTTTAACTTTTAATACATTGCCAAAAATAACTTTAAACATAATCTTTTGCTCATATGTAGATTTCACTTATTCTTGGGGTATATGAACATTTGACATTTGAATATTACAACTTCACATTATAATGATATATTTTATATTTTGATATAAAACCGATTTTATTTTGTTTTTTTCAAACAATCATGGTTGAAGAGTATATGTAAGTAGTTACTAAAAAAAATAACTAGTGTCTAAAATAAATGTAAAACCTTATGTGTGATATTCCCATACAATATAATGTTGTTAATCTGATAGGATCTTGTTTGAAAGAAAAACCAAAACCAAAATAAATGTATAAATAAACACACAACAAAATGTTGGTCGACAATAACCTAAACAATCGAGTATTGTTAAACATGATAGAGGGTTCCTATTTCATCTAAGCGTTGTTTCATCCAAGTGCAAAAAATCAATTAATATCCTGATGTTCAAACCTAAATGGTCTTTGTGGATTTTCTTCCCAAGACAACACCAATACCCATTCGAATATTTCATTTGATTTCATGACTTACATACCCAAATCGTTCACATAATAGTTGAAATAACACTAATCAAAGCTGCTAAGAACACAATCTCACAACAAAACACATATGTCATGAATATGTAGGTGTTTTGGTTATGTATTTAAACACATATTGTGTGTGTCATTTGAAATAATCATATCCTAATGTCTTCTAAGTATTTGGAAGCCATACATATCTAAATCATACACTATAACTTCAATTTGAATATCGGCGTGTTCGGCATGAAGCGTTTCGGAGCGTTTTAGATATTCTAGCTTCTAGCACTTGACAAAACGTTTTATTGTTTAACATAAAATCTTGTTTGTCACTACATATTTCTAGCGTTTATTTTAAACAAAACGCTACAAATTCAAATGCTACTTGACATAGCGTTTAACAAAACACTACCAGTTAGAAGCTACTCGTTAACAGGTATTTTTGCAGAACATGCCCTATATCTTGAAACAAAGTACAATTTTATAATCATATAGAATATCAATATGCTTCATAAGGTAATATATATATATATATATATATATATATATATATATATATTATAAAAACAATGCAATGCATGACATGGATCTAAGAAGGCGTCTACTCTCATGATAACAATTCCCTTACATCCTTAAGGGGCTTATCAAGCTACTCTCATGATAACAATTCACTTACATCCCTAAGGGACTTATCAAGCTAAACCTAGGGGAATATATGACATTGAAGCATATAACACATGTTAAACACACCAATCTTTTTTTAACACGTAACTACCGGTAAAGATTGCAATTGTAAGATTTCCCAAATGTAAAAAGAAGTTTAGAATATATTTTACAAAAACATACAAGCCAACTCTATTAGATCCATAGACCCATATATGTAGTGTCAAGGTCACATACAAGTCACATGCGCATCTAAACTAATACATGTATGGATGTCAACGGGACAAGACGGGCAAGGAAATAATTGCCCCTGCCCTCGAAATTAGTTGTTTCCCCCGCCCCAGGATCCCCTGTTCACATAGCCCCCGATTCTGCCCCCGTTTCCCATGCCTATATGCTTAAAATTTGATTTTTTGCTAAAAAAACTACTATGTTTTAGGCTAAAAATACTATTTTTAATAAATTTAAAAGCTTAAAACCTAGTTTTTTTAGCAACTAAATCAGAATTACCATATCAGCATTGCATAAACTATAGTTATCATATCAGCAAATCAACATTACATAAATCAACATTACCATACTGAAAATCAATATTACCACATCAGATTCGGATAAACTCAGTGTTAAGTTCAGTTACACTTAAATCACAAAATTGTGAGCGAATCAAACCAAAAAATTCATATGATAAAGACAAGATGTAGTCTTGATAAACCCAATAATCAACCCCAAACTTAGTTGAATGTAATTGACAAACCCATAAATCAATGTTGAAAATCAGGAACAATAACTTGTTCATACTTCATATGATATAGTGTAATAGTGATGCAAGAAACAAAACATAGACAATAAGCTGGAAATCGACAACTCATTGACTATTTGATATAAATCACTAAATGAAAACTTCACATAGGAAAACAAAAAATGAGAAACTTCACATTGGAAGACTGGAAGAAGAGAAATCAGAAACGTAACATCCCGACTCCCAAGTATAAATTTAAAGCTTTTATATTAATCATTTAAGACATACTCGACGAGTTGGAGGCCCTAACTCGTCATGTAGTAACTGATCATGTCGTGTGGTTTATGGAACCTAC